AAATAGCGTATTTTGACGCGTCGTAATTTTTGCTATGGTTGGCCATTCTCGCACACCATTAATGAGGGAAAAACTAGGCCATGAGCAGTTCCAAATGGTATTAAAAGTGTAATCTTTCGACTTCATTTGACATCCAAAATGAGTGTGTCAAAGAAGAGCGTAAATAGATCAAAATAACTATTTTTTTGAGGGAAAAAAGGAAAAGGTTAAAATTTTGTGGGTTCAAATGACCATATAGGTCCGCCCGTGAACTAAACATCCTTAATTTTTTCACTCATTCAAGAAAAAACATGGTCGTCGTCGAAGTTCCTCAAGGGATCAAAGTTGGTGTTTCTCCTGCTACGATTTTCAAGGCTATGATGATTGAATCTTTCCCATTTACCCAAAAATAATGCCCACTTTCATCAAAGAGCTATGATCTTCTCCAAGGACATGGTGGTGCCAAAAACATTGTTAGACTACTTTCCATGATGGTTAGGCTCCTTTTGGCTCACTCGGATATCTTCAATTTCATTGATTTTGATCCTATTTTTTTTCTTCAGAATAACACTACGCCAAAAACAATCTTTTGCAACTGTCAAAAAACGTTGCCAAAAGTCTTTTGTGACGTTTGGGCGTATGTTGTGGCTTCGACGTTGCCGTAAAGTAGAAGAATACGACAACGTTTAAAGACCGTTGTAAAAAATTTTTTTGAAATGTTCATTACACGTTATCGTTAAAATTTTAGCAATGTTCACTGCATGTTGCCATTGATGCTTTCGAAATTTTCAATACCTGTTGTCATTGATGTATTAGCAACGTTTATTGCCCATTGACGTTGATGTTTTAGCAACTTACATTGCCGTTGACATTGATGTTTTGGCAACCATCGTTGCTCGTTGCCATTTCCTACCATTTATATACATATATTGCTATATTTATATATCTAATGTTATATAAAAATCATATTATTATATTTTTAAAATATTTACAAAGCAATAGTAGCACCAGTGTCAATTTAACTTGTTGACTAATTAACGATGAACACCACCAGCTCCCATAAGTAGCACCAGTGTCAATTTAACATTAGGGACCCTTGGAATCAAGTCTTCGTCATTATACATGCCCCACCCACTTGTTGACTAACATGTTAATATCTTCCTAACCCATTTTTTCTTCTTCAACAGTATACCTCTGTGGCTTGGAGCTTGCAGCACAATGATGGACCATCTTCTTACCTTCAAGCTTCAAGATCTCGGGATGACGCCATAGCATTGCCAAATAACTCTGACTCTTCGAGCAGCTTAAGGTACCAGACTCTTCGAGGGTTGAGCTCCTCCAATTGCTTACTCTGTCTACTGGATTCTTTAATCTTATCAATCCTTTTAAAGACATTGTTGATTAAAACAAAGAAAATGTCAAGTCTAAACTCAAATCATCGAAGACATCCAACATATAAAGCCTATCTAAACTCTTGTTAATATCTTCCTAACCCATTTTTTCTTCTTCAACAGTATACCTCTGTGGCTTGGAGCTTGCAGCACAATGATGGACCATCTTCTTACCTTCAAGCTTCAAGATCTCGGGATGACGCCATAGCATTGCCAAATAACTCTGACTCTTCGAGCAGCTTAAGGTACCAGACTCTTCGAGGGTTGAGCTCCTCCAATTGCTTACTCTGTCTACTGGATTCTTTAATCTTATCAATCCTTTTAAAGACATTGTTGATTAAAACAAAGAAAATGTCAAGTCTAAACTCAAATCATCGAAGACATCCAACATATAAAGCCTATCTAAACTCTTGTTGAAGCCATCTATATGTACAGTAATCTCTAATAAATGTATTTAAAGCAGAAGTGGCCAAGATTCATTTGCCTCACTTAACCCCAACCTTTAGCTCAAATTAGAAGACCTTCATCTCAGAGATCAATATACATGTCAAAGTCATCTATATAAAAATCGAATTTTATCTAAACCAAACAGGGGATGACCTCTAACTCTTCTTTCAACTCCCCCACTCTAGCTAAGTATCATTTGATATGTAAAAAAAACAATATCACTTTTGTACAACCCCCTTCAACTACTATTTTTCTTCACTACTCTTTCTGGCCTTTTTGTTTTTCATTTGAGGGAAGAGACTCAAAGATATGATTGCAATGTACAGTCTTCTGCATCCAGTGGTCTTTAATAAGCTTGGAGATTATTGTTATACAAATGCTCTTTTCTTTCTCTCTTTCTTTTCTCCTAACCTTCAAGTCCACACTCTATATTTAGAGTGTGGACTTGAAGGTTAGAAGAAAAGAAAGAGAGAAAGAAAATAGAGTGTGGACTTGAAGGTTAGGAGAAAAGAAAGAGAGAAAGAAAAGAGCATATGTATAACAATAGTCCCCGAAATTCATGTATGGATATTTATATAGTGCATGGATTTGAAGGTTAGGAGAAAAGAAAGAGAGAAAGAAAAGAGCATATGTATGACAATAGTCCCCGAAGTGACTATTGTTATACCTTTCCCAACAAGACCCGAACTCATGCCATGTGGCAGGCGGAACCACGAAGGCGACCGTGTGGAATATTCTTGTAGCCGAACCACTATGGACGAGTTTCTCAAGACCGAACCCATATTATGTCTGACCTCATAACAGCCGAACCCTTAAAGCTGAACCATCACATAGGAGCTTCTAAAAGAGATTGATTGACAGAAGATCCTCTAAATTAAATCTAGTGATGTGACTAATTTGACTACTCCCTAACGCCGCCACAGCCAACCTATTTGCTTGAATCTACAGCCGCAAGCAATGGTTTTTAAAAGGCAAGTTGGTATTACCATTTAATTCTTATGATTGATTGATTCCCATGATGAGAGGTTACGCCTACATGGATGAGGCCACATGTCTTCTCATCTGACGGTCCTTACTTAATATCCCATTCTAAAAAAGCTCATACTTACTGTCATTGAGAGTTAATACAAGTTTAGACTCTGATTCTTTATAACTTTGCTCTACATTTACTATCTTCCCTGAAACTGAGCCCCCTTTATTTTATATTGAGGCTCACGTTATGAGCTCTCCCACACTTAATACCCCTCTTTCCACACTAACTTGACGGTCGGAGTACACGCAGTCGACTTCACCCCATCGGAAAAGGCCACATATGTCTAACAGTTTATCCAAGTATGCAAGTTTGCGGCTTATTTAGACGTGAGAGGTTTCGGGATCTGTTGGTCATCTGAAAATACATTTTTTGAGGTCAACAATTATCATTACAAAATTTAAAAGATTCAAATCCTAAAGTTGGGTGCTGACTTCCGTCACCTTTGACCAAAGAAATAGATCAATTATGACCTTTCAAAAAAAAGGCAAAGACTGCAGACCTTGATTATATTTCTTGTACATATGCATCTAGTTATCGGGTAGCTCAAAAACCATCTACTACTTATTTAGGATTGCCTTCGTGACTTTGACTTATTTCCAATAAAAATATTTTAGAAAAAATGTCATAAAAGTATATTAAAGCGTGTGTTTGGTCCCCATTTTAATGATTTTTTTTAGTCCATCTCATTTTTTCCACAGTATTACACTAGTAACATTTTACAAATCACTCAGTTTTTTGTCCAGGAAGAATAGTGCCACGAGTTGTGATGACTGCTTTGCCCTCAATTAAAAGAATAAAAGTCCATAAAAAAGGCAGAAAGGGTAAGAATAAAATTTTAATTGAAGGACATAAACGAAAAGAACAACGTTCCAAAATTAAAATGACTGCCTATAACTCAAGTGGTCTCAGTTGTTGTCAAGCAAGCCGCCTCACTACGGACATGGGCCCATATTTGTTGAAAAAGAAGTGGAAAAATAGGAAAAAATGGGGCCCAAACACACGCTAATCGTTCAAGGTTTAGCTTGATAAATTTCATAACCCATTCTTAAAAGGTTGAACCCCAACCTTGAGAACCATCATCGTCCTGTCCCTAGAGCTTTGTAAGGGAGGTAAATCGTGAGATATACCCCAACAAACCAGAAAACAAAAGCTGCCTGTACATTCTTGCTTTAGCTCTCATGGACTTAAACACTCAAATTGATCTATTCATTTAAAAATAGCCATCAAATACTCCAAAAGTAACAAGAACAATTCCAAATATCAAAACATTCATTCCAACTAATACTAACCATAGAATTATTATTTCCTAAAAATAAACCAAACCCCCCCCCCCCCCTCCACCAAAAAGTAAATCCCATTTCTGGTAGTAGCAATAGCACTCATTAACAAATCAATAGCCCACAACAAAAAGTACCAGCTCCACATAGAAATGCCTAATTTTAATCAAATTTTCAAAATCACATTCACAAATAATGAAAAATAAGGATGCCCAAAGCCCAAATCAATCTCAACAGAAATATGTTAAAAGAAAACGAACCTCGATTCATGAGGTACCAAGGGACACCAAAAATGATACCAATTATGGCGATGCCTCCATTGACATGCTTCTTTTTTCCTCTATACAAATAGTGTTCTAATTTAGCCATGTATATCTCGGAGATCAATATATATGCTTAAATTTATCAAATTATAAGTGAAATTTTGATTAAAACTAAATTATGCCAATGCATAATTAATTGAATAGTTTGTCTAATTAGAGGGGGATGACGTACCATCCCTTGAGAAATGAGCAACATCCACTATTGTTCTCATGCTGGTGGACCTCAGGCCCAAAATCTAGTAGGGCCTCATTTTTTGTCCAGATATTTTTTTTTGTTGAACAATGGCAGACCACAACTCTCATGCCCAAATCCGATTTCCTTAGCCTTAATCCATTTACCCAACTTATACATCCATAATCCATTATCCATTTACCCAAAATCCCCAAATCCCAAATCGAAATCCCATTTTCCCCAAACGCTCGTCTGAGTCGTCTCCGTCGCTTCCGTTTCTCTTCTCCACTTCTCCTTCCAGATTTCCTCTTCGCCGGAGTCCCGGACGCCGGTTCCCAGTTCGATCCTGTTGGCAGTTGGCTGTTAGTATAGTATTTTACATTATTATTTGATTGCATTTACACCCGCTGTTCATCAGTTCACGTTTCCATTTCTGCACAATACATTGCTGTTTATAAGTATTCAACTATTCATTTATGGCTTTTACCTTTTACTTATTATAATTTTGATGGCTTGATTTTAATTGATAAATGCTGCTTTTTTTTTTTTTTAATGTGGGCCGTGGGGTATATTGATTGGAGAGAGCTCAGAGAGGGTTCTATGTTAATGTGTTATCTAGGATGGAGTCGATGATCTGAAAGTGCTACAAATATGTGTAATGATTATTGATTAATATATAACTTGTTGTACAAGCTTGAAATGAAGAACTCTCAGATCTCGAGTAATGTGTAAAATAGTTTATAGTTAATTTCAGTAACTTCGTTTCATAGGTAAGGTGTGAGAATACATAGTTGAGAACTTGAGATATTATTATGTCAATGAACTCAAGAAAAAATAACTTCAGTTTCTGCAACCAATAGACTAATTTGAATTAATTTATTTTGTCGATGACACTGTTTTAATGATGATTAGTTCTTATTAATTGTGTTATTTCGTTGATGACACTGTTTTAATGTGTTATTAATGGTGATTAGTCCTTATTAAACGTGTCCTTTTCATGGGTTTTATTTTTCATGAGTTTTATTCGTCAGCCTTTCTCTAGCCCTTTTCGTGAACAGTTAGTCTATGAGGCATTGGAGATGGGTGCCAAAGCTTAGATAGTGATTAGTCACTCTTCCCTTGTCAAGAAGGTTTGAATTTTGAAATTGGGACTTTTTTAGTTAATTTGTTTATGCTAATGTCGGAGTGAAAGAATTCTAGTTTTGAAGTATTTTGGAATTTTTGATCCATTGAGTCTTGTATGATTACATGTTAATCGGTTATTGCATTCTTGTATGTTTTAGTTGTGATATTTCTTTTGTGAAATGCTTATTCTGTGTCTGTGATAGTGATAAAATGCTTGAGGTTAGTTTTGAAATGCTTGTTCGGTGCTTATTGGTTTTGTTTTGAGATTAGTGGTCTTGATAGAAATGCGAATTGATAATGAAGTCATTAGTATGAAAACTCTTAAGGAACAAGTGTAATTTATAAACTGTGTCATTTTTAGTATTCTTGTAATATTTTTTATATTTTTGTCATCATTAAATCGATGGTAAAAACTAAGTTTGGCTTGATTAAATTGTGCCTGCACTGAAAAAAATTCCTGGCTTTGCCCCTGCATGTGAAGTCCTAAGTTTCTTTGTTTTCTATGTTTTCCATGTGAAATAAATGAACTGTATTGTTCTACCAACCTTTTGTTGGCGGTTATCGAGAGAAGCTTCTCAAATAAATTATGCTATTTCACTATGTCTGAAATGTGTGATTTTTGGTTTTCTATTTTCAGTTTAAATTAATGAAATTTATTGCTTTACTAGCTCTAATTATATATTATGGGTGGTTACATTGCTTGCACAATTTCTATTTGAAGCACCATATTTTAATTGCAGTTAAGCTCCTCAATTTTTGCTCATTGTAACTATTATTTTCCTAACTTTTTTTTTTATTTTTTTTCAATCTTCCATTAATTAGTACATCTCATTCTTGATGATAATTTGTATTAAAATATTTTATTTCATACTTTCAAATGAGAAAGAAATATTTTTCATACTTTTTATTTAAAAAAATAAGTTCTTTTATGCTAGTTCAACGAACTTTTTGACATAAAACTAGGAGTGTGATCTGGCTAGGTTCGGCTAGGTCCGGTTCTAAAGGAAACCAAATTGAATACCAATGGAAATCTTAGAAATGGAACCATTGGTTCCATATTCAACTATAGAGTCGAGCCAATCAGTTCTAGTTCGGTCCGATCCGGTTCAATTCTTTATATTTAAAAATTATAAAAATGAAGTATGAAACTAACTGTCAATTGAAAAATGACAAAAATAAAGTATGGTACTGCTTGTAATTCTTTTAATCTAACAAAACAAAAAATCAATTGAACAAGGCAACAAATAAAAATTTAATTCAAAACTTCAGATCAACTCATAAATGCAAAAAAATTATTAAACACAGTATAAACGGTAAAATCTCGATTGAAAAAATAATTTTTAAGAAAATTCGTGTAATAATAATCTGAATATTTTTAGTAATCCTCAAGGATCTTAATTCTTGATGCCTGATCACTTTGGAAAAAAACGAAAAATGTGAATTCTAATGAAATATTGAACTAAAAATATATGTCCTATTGAGCTACATTAAAATTATGAAGTTGTAAAGTGTTTATAAAATTATTTAGATTTGAATTTTCATTACCTATTAAAGAAAAGAAGCAGCAGCATATGGGAAATAAAATTTTAACGTGAGATAATTTTGGGGTCTAGTACGTAAAGATTTGGTGTATCTTGGTGCAAGCAATAAGAGAAATTCGATAAAACCGAATTAGCTTCTAGTTCTCAAGGCAGTACTGAGAACCAACCGGACCAAAATTGATCGGTTCTCGATGCATTGTCTCCAAAATCGACCCGTTTAGTAGATGAACCGAAACCAAACCAACTGTTTCTATTTGGTTCGGTCCGATTCCAACGGATCTAGGAAAAAAATGCCCACCCCTACATAAAACTGTTATCAAATACAAAATACGTTAATTAATGAAAAGTTTGAAGATAATAATAATATAAAAAAAAATTATTAGGGACATAAGTGCTATTGTGAGTAAAGATTAAGAGCCTTAAATGCAATTAAAATATGGTGTAAATATAATTACCCTATAATTATAGCCATCCAACGAAAAAGCAACAAAAACATTATAGCCTAAAAATATGCATACAAAGAACTCAGCTTTTACACATTACCTATAAATTTATAAGTTAATAAAAAAGCCATGCGGAAGGTTGAACCCAGTCGAAAGAAAATAAACCCACAACCTAGAAACAGTAGGATTGAAACAGGCCAAATAATCCAAGAGAAAGAAAAAAATAATTGGCAACTCCAAAAAAATTAAAATCGAGCTTAGGAAAAGAAATGTTTTCCTTCTCAGCCAGTTAATAAATGGATTCTAACACAAAGAGTTGTAGAATAGGATCACAAACCCTCTAATCGATGATTAGGTTTTAAAGAGAATTAAACTAATTACTTGATAATTAGGTCTCGAAAATGTTTGGAATCTTAGAGTACACATTGTGCAAATATCAAGATTCGAGATAAACGTACAGGTGGCACGTAGAGTTATAATAGCTGAGAGGGAAACTTCGAGAGATCGAGTCCAGCAGGAAGAAACGTCGGTAGGTTTAGGACAAATGAGAGAAAAATTGCGAAAGCTTAAGCGCGGAAGAAACAATGCTAAGGTTAGGGCAAATGAGGGATTTTTTTCCTTTAAATAACGCTTCTAAAATGAAGTTATTTTTTATATTATTAAAAGGAATGAATGAAAAAATGAATAGTGCCAAAACAAATTGGCTCCTTTTAGTTTGACTAGATTACAATCATAAGTCACATCACAAAATCCATTTGCCTTTCTTCCTTCTCTTTATTTTTGTGTCTTTTCAATTTAATTTAATGAAGTATATTTGTGGATTCAATTGGTCTTTTTCGAAATTTGGGAATCAAATTTATTAAAATCTGTGGACATCCTCTGTCAAAAAAAAAAGATCATAGATAGCCCAGTAATTAAACCATATATGCCCAAGAATTCTACATAATCCCCAAATACGCAGAGACATGGATCAAGTAGTAGAGGAAGTGGAGAAAGTCAAGAAGGATTTCCAAGAAACGTACAGCCAAACAATCAAATACGTTGATTCTATCCAAGAATATGGGAAAAAAACAAGAATTACAGAAGGAATTGAAATTGAAGAAGAGGAGAAGAAAGATTCATTGCCAAGATTAAATGGGTTGGCTCAGGATGGTTTGAATATGCTCCAATCACTCCAATTCAAGCTAGATCTCCTGTCTCCACAACTTCCCTCCATTGATTATGTTGAAAAGACTCAAGATTTGGCCCAATCTTGGAAAAATCAAATCCAAAGGTGCCCACAGATTTGTCTTATTCTTTTTAATTTGATATTCCCAATTTATAATTGAATTGTTGTTCATCTACGTACATTGATACTTGGGCCTGTTTTTGATGCAATTGAACAAATTTATATGCTTCTAATTGTATGCTTATTCATGTGTGTTTTTGTGTGAATTATGTCTTTATGTTGCTGCTGTTTAAAAAATGTCAAATTTTGCTTGGAAAATTTGCTATATTTAATTGTATTTTTATGTTGAATTTGTATATATGTTCATGTAGAGTGTGGCAGAATTTCAAATGTTTCTGTTAATTGGGTTTTAATACTATGAAAATGACAAATTACATATATCTGTGTATTATTTATGCAAGTGTATGCTTATGGAATGTGTGTATTTGTTTTAATAATGTGTTCATGTTGACGGTGTTGAAGGGCTCAAGCTTGGGTGTTTGCAAGGAATAAGCCTGGTGGCAAATATTAATTACACATTCAAATGAATATGTTTGAGAGAGTGTGTAATGACTTTATAGGATTTGATGGTAAGAGAGTGTTAAGCTGGTTGCCCAATCCACCTTTCCACAAGTACAGAGAAAATAAATAAATAAAATTCTTTTTTTTTCCAAGTCTTGTAACATCAAGCTTCTATTTTGCTCCTTTGGAATCATTAATTTTGAGGAATGTGTAAACAAACTCAATGGGAATCAACAACAATATACCCAACTTCATTCTCAACAAGTTTTCTGCAACCAAATTGGCAACTTATTCTTGGTGCATCTCTCCTTCTAAGCTGTTTTAATGATTGTCCGTGCAATTTCATTTGTTCTTATCATGGGGAACCGTATTGTGTGTATGTGTGGCTATTAGATTCTGCATAGGAATATATTCGCTAACGAATTGATGAGGAAACAAGGAAAATGAGTAGGATGGAACGCCTTTGTATCCTGCTTTAGACTGTTCTTAACAAGTGCAGAAAAAATACAGTATTTTTGTGTGTATCTTGGAATTAAACCTGAGAGTGGAAATACTAGTTTTCATGTAATTTTTCTAAATTAAGTTTCAATGTTACTTTCCCACAAGTTTAGTCTGATCCGAGAGCTAAATAATTAACTTGGATTGGTTAGGTATAAACCTTTGTTTTCACTGGGATGCATGCCATAGCATTCCTCTCTTGGTTCCCTTTAACTCCTTTACTATTTGAGCATATGCAGCATGTCAAATAAGGGGCCAAATGTGAACACTTGTTTGTTTCTGCATATATGATTGATACTTTAATTCCACTGTACAATAGCTTATTTACTCATTTTCTGTTTGAAATTTTAGTCTGCGGACTGGCCTAAGGAATGCTAATTTGCAAGCAAAGGCAAACATGAAGAAATCTGCTCAAAAGGAGGTAATTTGCAAGCTTTTTGTTCATTTTCTATCTACACGTGGTGTTCTTTTCCTGGGCCCATTTATATCTTGTATCAATTCAACTGGTAGAGAAATCATTGCAACATTTCCTTTTGGGTGACTTCAAATTGAAGTCTTAGGCATTGCTATTTTCCTGATAAATTTTAAAGAGTAAAAGAAATTAATTGAGGCAACTTGTTATCAAGTACTCAATTGTCGCACTGAAGTTGCTGTTTACAGAGAGAGCTGCTTTTGGGAGGTGGAGAAGAGTCTACCATCCGCAGGCGCAATCTACAGTATGTATATTGGCTATCCATTACGTTCTTGAAAGATCTAATGTGTTCCATAGAGCACGAAAGTTGCATCATGCATGAATAATTGAAATTCTTATTATTGTTTGTCAGGACAAAAGCTGGAATGACCTCTGCAGCTGAAAGCATCACAGAGAGCCTTAGGCGTTCTCGGCAGCTCATGGTTCAGGTCATTATTCATATTTTTCTGTCTAACACATTTTAGGTTATTTTTTGTGGTGTGTGATCCAGTTTTTTCTTGGCTGTGTATTAATAGGAGGTTGAAAGGAGTGCAAGCACACTCATGACATTTGGTAAGTTCATTTATTACTAACAAACCCCCCCCCACCCCCCCCCTCCCCAAAAAAAAAAAAAAAAAAAAAAGGAAGACGTATTGTACTATGTTATCATAATAGAGACAGAATTTATGACCAGGGTAGTGAAATTGCAAAGCATTGATCCTTCAGTGACCTAGATAAGAGCCTATTATGCAGATGCAAAAGCTGAGGCAGCAGTGTATTATGCTGATGTCTTGTCAGATACTTTAAATGGAGATGGCTACTCTTATTATCCACAAAAATGATGGAAAACTTAATATTCCTAGATGATTCAAAGAACTAGATGTCTTAACTCATAATCACACCTTAAAGCATCCTATGAATTCTGCTGTAACCACAAAGGCTTTACTCTTTTACTAGTGAGACAGCTAACAAGTGCTTTATGATTGCTATTGCATAACTATATTAATGATAAACATAAGAGGAGAAGTTTAGTTGCAGCAAGACTATCCAAATTAATTAGCTGAAGCAAGGTACCTATAATGTTATGCAGTTGTCAAACCTGTTCAATTTGATTGAACTCGGTGTTTTAGAAAAAAGAGAAAGAAACGATCACATTCCCTTGTACATCTCATTTTCATTTTACACCTTTTTAATGAATCAAACTCTCGAAATAGCTGCTTTTCAACTTCCCTCTAATGACTATCCCCCTTCTTTTGTCTACTATATCAGTTTTCCTTTTTCAGAAATGTACAAGGAAAAATTCTGTGAATATTTCCTAGTATTGCTAAGGCATGACATCAGTCAATTGCATCTCTCTATTGAAGGGTTCCTTCTGGAGCTGAATAGAATTTGAAATCTTCTCTTTCAATCTTACTTTTTTCAAGCCTTTTATTGGGTCAGCAGAATAGGTTTACTGATTTGTGATAGAATGTCATTAGAACTATATAATGAGCCCGAGTATGAAAACTAAGAGCTACAGTGTGTGTGGACATGTAACACAGATATACGAAGTGTTAGATGTTGTAGTGCATGGACCTGTAGCACAGATATACGAAGTTTTGATGTTCTAGTTCCTACATTGGTATCTAAATAGTAGTGTAACATAGATGCTATGAACAGAATCGGATTAATCAATTCAACAATTAATTAAAAAAAAAAACGAATTGGAGAAAATCTGAGGGAGAAGTTTGGATTTTTATTCAATATCAAAGGTTTTCTATTACAAAATAAAGACTCTCTCTATATAGTCTAAATAGAAGAAATAAGGAAAACCATGGTTTCCTTTATGAGGAAACAAGTTACGAAATAAGGAAAACTAGCGCTTCTCTATAAGGAAACAATTTCTCTACAAGGAAACAAACTAAATTTTTTTAAAAACTCGTCAATAAAAAATAAGGAAAATAACAAACTTTAATTGACTTAATTTTTCTTATGCCTAGAATAGACTTTCCATGTTGCATCATTCCTACTCAGCTAAAAGGAACTCAACTTTGGCAATGTATAATCAAGGTAGGCGTCCACAAATTTTATACCCAACTAATCGAACTTATCTTCAATAATCTAAATAGCATCACGAGATGGACGACCCTTCCAACGCACCAAAAACCTTTGAAAATTACCATCTTCTGAAGCAATAATCTAATTTTCGAGCACCTCATCAGTCATATCTTAAAATAAAAATGGCCACATGGGTACAAGGGGTGGGCAAGGAACCAGTCTTGCAAAAATATTAGACGGTAAAATTGGAAGCTTGTACTTGCCTTGTTAAGGATATGTATCTGCTATATTAAAAATAAGATTGATAAGTGCATTAGCAAATCAAGAAGATAAGCATTAGTTCTTAGCTTTTTAATAATAATGAAAGGCCTAAATGATCTAGCACAATTCTTTTTTGCGGCATATTTTGGAAAACATACGAGTGCTGGTCTTATCATATCATGACAAAATTTTCAACATTAAATTCTTTGCCCCTACAATGTGAATCAGCTGCCAGTTTGTATTGTTGATTACCTAAAAGTAATTTTACATTTAATCTCACAGTACAAGTCGCGAATGTTATAAGCAAAAGCTTGAGCAAAGGCAGCGGGATGAAAATTAGTAGGCTAAGGAACAAGATCTAGTGGTTGATGTAGGAAGAATCTTGGACGACCTGGAATGGGCTATTGATGGCCTATGGACATAATTCTTATATGCGAACTCAACAATAAGTTACATAAGATCCCAATTATTTGGTTTATCCCCAAGTAAGAAATGATGTAGGTTACCAAGAATGGTTCACCGCCTTAGTTTGACCATCGGTCTGGGGTAGAATGCACAGGAAAAATTAGCTAATGTAGGCAGTAAACAAATTAGATAATTTGCACGGTATTTTTCAAAAGTAATTAACAAATTAGACATCATGATTAGACACAATATTGATCGGGAGCCAATGTAGGCAGAAAACCTCTTTGAAGAATAACTTAGCAACGTGGGACGTGAGTATTCTAGGTATAAGGAATAAACACTAGTAGATTTAGGCAAGTTGAGAACAAAATATATGCTAAGGTCACACCAGAGAGTATGAGGAATAGGAGTATATATCCTAGCTTTTTGACATTGTGCTTTACCTAACTGATACGGGCGACACTAAGAAAGAATGCAAGCAACATCCTTCTCGAGAGAAGGCCAATAAAATCTATCATCGAATAAGGTGAAAGTTTTATCTCTACCAAAATAACCAACTAGAACACCCCTATTTATAGTTTCCAAATGAGGAAGTTACGAAGCAAGGTACGATGGAGGCACAATTTAGTTTCTTTAAAAAGATAACCATCTTTAAGCAAGTAAACAACATGGTCGGAGACGGATTAGCTAAGAGTTCTTAAAAGATGTCAATGTTGGGACAATTGAGATAATCATCCTTCAAGTATTTACATTCTACCACAATATTGCTTATAGAATAATGCACTTTAGTGATACGATTAAGAGTGTCGTTGCTTTGTTTTCGACTTCGGCTCGATCCTGGAGGACAAAGGTGAACTCTTGAAGAAACTTGACCCACCGAACATGACGTTCACTATATTTATGCTTGAAATTGAGGTAATTAAGAACCTATAATGATTCGGGCCTTGTGCTTAAGTTGTTATATCCTATGTATTGTTCGTTTCAAGAGGGCATCTTGTCACAGGCCTAGTTTCGTTATAGGGGCACTATGGAAACCCGTTCATCGAGGAGATGGTGCTGCAAGTTGGGAGAACTTTGATGCCCATTGACGTGGAAGACAATGCAAGGTTGCATGAGGATGCGCGGAACACGTTCCGTTATGAGGACGTTAGCAGATTGAGTGGGAGAGAATGTCACGGACTGCAAGGCCATCACTTGAGGCTTGGCATGACACGGGAATGTCATGGCACAAAGTGGGAAAATGAGATAGACTTATGGCAAATAAGGTCTAAGCTTCGACGGTACACGGCGATGAGGGCGTCGCCAAATTTAGTGGGGGGAGTGACTTACATACCCCATGGTCGCAGTTGATACGTCTAGATTGCGGCTGGCGAATGCGGGTAACGCAGACAGTGCATTACGGCTGGACAAAAGTACATTCGGTAGGGGACGCAGGTAGGAAAAACACAGGCACTATGTTAGGGGACGTAGGTAGAACAACACAGGAACCTGCGGTAAGGGACGCAGGCAGGACAAAGACAGGCAAAACACAGGCAGACGTAGGCAGATTGCGGCAGGGGACGCAACAGCAACATAGGCAGATTGTGGTAGGGGATACAACAGCAAGACATGCAGACTGTGTAGGCAGCCGCAGGCTGGGGACGCAAGGATCAAAATTTGGTTTTCTCAGGTGAAAACCACTATCATGAGAGGGAAGCAATACTGCGGATTATAGCTGGTAGTTTTGGATGCAAGTGTATGCCAACTCGAGCCAATTGGGCAACGTGCAAAATGAGGCCAACATGCAACTTGACAACTTGCTTGATGAAGCAAAATCCAACTTGGTCACTTTGATGGAGACATTTCCATTTGCACACATGAGTTGTAGAGATCCACTTGCATGGAAAGTGACTTGCCAACTAGCATAAAGTTGGAAATGTGCAAGATACAATGCAACAAGGCAACCTACAAGTGTAGAGACATGCCACTTGCAAGGTAGTCAATTCCAACTTGGCTACCTTGTGGTCAAAGGAGGTTTTAGGCCATTTGCAAGTAATGAGAGTCCTTGGATTAAGATTAATACTAGCCATTGATGCCAACTTGCATACCTTGAGTTTGCCTATAAATAGAGGGATTTGGTCATTTGTAAATAAAATGAATTGAATCAAGGGGAAAGAGAGAATATTAGAGACAATTCTCATAGATAGAAAGGGGATTAAAGTGAGGTAGAGTAATATCTATGTAGTAGTGTGTTGTAAATAGTTCTCTCTTTTATTTTTACAAAGAATTTTCCCCAAATATATGTGTGTGCTCTTTTCCTCATAATTTTCCTATCTACCTTCTCTACCAAAGTTAACATGTCAAAAGTTGCCTTGTATCTTGCATCTTTCCAACTCTATGCTAGTTGGCATGTCACTTTCCATGCAAGTGGATCTCTACGACTCATGTGTGCAAGTGGATGTCTCCATCAAGGTGGCCAAGTTGGACTTTGCTTCCTCAAGCAAGTTGTCAAGTTGCATGTTGGCCCCATTTTGCAAGTTGTCCAATTGGCTCGAGTTGGCATACACTTGCATCCAAAATTACCGGCTATAATCAACGGTATTGCTTCCCTCTCATGATAGTGGTTTTCACCCGAGAAAATCAAATTTTCGTCCCTGCGTCCCCAGCCTGTGGCTGCCTACACAGTCTGCCTGTATTGCTGTTGCGTCTCTTGCCGTAGGTACTTCCGTTCAGCCGTAACGCATTGCCTACGTTACCTGCATTCCTCAGCCACAACTTGGACGTATCAACCGCGACCATGGGGACGTAAGTCACTCCCCCACTAAATTTGGCGACGACCTCATCGCCATGTACCGCCGAAGCTTAGACCTTATTTGCCATAAGTCTATCTC